TGTTGTTCAGGCCAATCCAGGGTTATCTGGGATCCTGTCTCATACGGTCCGGACCAGAGATGGACAAAATCGCACCGCGCCTCCCCGCTGCTCGCGCCTAAGCGCTACGCACATCTCTCTTTCTCTTTGCTCTACCAATCAGTTTCTCAAACTCCACCGAATACCGGGATGCTCTAGGCATGCGCTCATCGAAGCTCAGACTAGTGTAGCATAGGCGTGAGCAACGGCGCAGGGAGGCGCGGTGCGACTTTGTCCATCTCTGGTCCGGACAATAGTGTGTTTTATCCTTACAATAGGACTGTATCAGGGCAGTTGATCGCGTCCATATATAATAATTTTTCATTATTTAAGAAAAACAAATTATTGTTCTCGATGTATGGATTATATATCATCATCTGATAGTGATTCCGATACAGTAGGATATAAATAATGCTATATGTAATTTTAGAATTTTTTTTTGTTTTAATTATTTATTTAGAATTCAAATTATTGTGGAACAACTGAATTAAATGAAGTTTATGATCGAGCAGAAAAAGTTCTTTATCGTTCACAAAGTTTATCAAGATATATCAATCGACAACTTAAACTTGCTTTAGCTACAATGTAGAAAACAAAAATTAATTTTTTTTTTTCTATTTTTTTGTTTCTTATTAATCATTTGATCACATCAATGAAAGATAGTTATAGAATATAGATTTTATTATTTGTATTTTTGCACTACAATTTGTCTTTCTTGAAAAAAGAACAAAAAGTAAAAAAAATTAATTAAAATAATTGTATATTTAAAATAATAGAAAACATATCAAGTCTCATTGTTCAAGGATAATAGACATATAAAAATATGTAGATGGTATCTCAGAATCTGGTCCAAAAATTTTTAGTACAAATACAGAAGCAAAAATAACGAGACTCGTATTCAGACAGTAATTTTTAAGCCAAAGGATTGCATTTGGTTATATTATGATCCCTATCAAGTTTGATCTGCTGTTTTTTTTAAAAACCTAACGAGGGAACACTTCTAAGTGATTTCCACCATTCGAACTCACATTTTCTCCGTGACTAAGACTTATTGTACCTATAAAATACTTAAAAGGATTCGTACGATTGCTATTTAGTTTTAGAATTATGAGCGAAACATATGCTATGATGGATGGTACTACTATCTGAGCGCTATTTTTGGTTGTTTTTCATATATTAACTATAATTCTTACTTTGTTTTTCTGGTCGAAACTTTTCATATCATCTTATCTCATTTGACTCAAGTGAAAAAAATATAAAAGAGTAAATCCTAGTTAATATATGAAAAGATCAAAACAGTTGTGCATAGGTGATAGCACCATCTATCATAGTATTCGTTTTGCTCATAACTACGGAAATAAGCAGCAATGGCACAAATTCTTTTAGGTATTTTATAAATACACTTAGTCCTAGTCATTAACAAAATGTGAGCTCGAACGGTGCGAATCACTTGGGAATGGTTCTCTCGTCAGAAGTGCTTTTGAGTTTTTTCAAAAACCTTATTTTGTTTTTATTGAGAGAATTATATAAAGATTTGAATAGGACGATCAAAAATGAAAACGATCGATTTTACATCTAGAGAATACTTTCAAGTATCTATTTATCAATGAAAAAATGCTTGCAAATCGTACTTTTAATGGATAGTCAACCGCAAAAGAAAACATAAAGTTCTCAAAAGCTATTTTCGTCTATAGAATATCAGATAAATGTAAAAGGTGTTCTATAAGAGCTAAGTTTCCTCGTAAATCTTTTATCTATAGAGAGATAATGCATTAATTTCCAGTATCTTTCAGATTGGATGACAAACTTTATCTCAAATGCTCATCTGTTAAAAATACAAAAAAAGAATAATCTTTTTATATTCTGCAATGAATACAAAATATTTCAATATAACATGAAATGTTAGTGTGCCATAGTTCGTAATATAATTATTTTATAAACATATAGAACCAGCTGATAGCGATATTTTATTCAATTATGCATGAAGAGAATAGAAAATATGTGACGTGTATTGAAGAAAAAATATTTCGTGAAAATGTTTATTGCATTACTGAAATTAGAAAAATATAATTTGCAAAAAAAGAAATGAAGAAAATATCTTATGAAATTTTTATCAATATTTATAATCTAGATGTTTATATCAAAATTTTTTGATTCTTGGTTGTTTTTTGCAAATATAGCTTCGAATTGTCTTCTATTAAATGCAATTCTCTAAGTTTTTAGTAGAAAAACTTGAGTTACGATTATTCTTTGTATAAGCATTTAAGAAATCGGAGTTTATGACGACTTTTACTCTATTCATTGAGATTTATCTATCCTAGAAATTCCAAAAGATTTCTGATGACCTGTTCTTCAGAAACTTCGAAAAATGAAAAGGGATGCCCTTAATCTACAGAACTCAAACTTTATAAAATTAAAGATCTTACAAGAGTACCTTCTCATATGTTAAAACGCTTTTCGATCAAGATCATGTCCATTTGATGAGTCCAAAAAAGTCTAGAATGGTTTGAGTTTTTAAATCATTGCTCTCGATATATCGAATTTTTGCTAAGTTTCTCAATACAAAGCTGTGGCATTTGTCACGTCACGTGAAAAGTCAACTTTTCATGTGATCTGATGGAGAGAAAAAAACCCAGTTGTCTATCACTCATTAGTATTCATCACATGAGTATTGTCTCGATCAAAAAGTGATATAATACATAGAGAAGCTTCGTTCTTACATTAGTTCGATACATATGTAATAAAAATTTCAATTTTCTACATTAAGAAAACGTATGAAAAATATTATTGACAATTTATCATCCGTTATTCTAGAACACAAGATTTTCTTCGAAAAAAATCTTTTTTTTTTATTCAAAATATTTTCTTCGTACACGTGTTTCTTTATCTAAATATTCTTTATCTGTAGTAAAAAATTTCAGGTTGATCGTTTGCACCTTTCTCGAGAACAAGCAATGACAAAAAAAAAAGGTGACGAGTACTCTTATCAGTGAACTCAAGTATTATTTGCTCGTAGTATAAAAAACATTTGTCATCAGCGTCAGCTTTATGAGTATTTGAAAAAGTACTTCAAGTATTGTCCTTCAGTTTGAAATACTTTCTATTTTAAAGTTTATTACAAATTTCTTATCAAAAAAAAAATTACACACAATCATAATCTCGTTAAGCTATTGATAAAAAAAAGAAAAAGATCTATTGTTTTAATAAGCTTCATATCTGTTAGAATTTCAAAAGAGATATCAAATTACGTCAGTAAAGTATTATATAGTATATTTGATACTGTATTTAGTTAAGAATAAAATTTGTCTCTTTATAAATTAATCTTATACTTTACTTTATTATCAAATCATCTGATAAAATGTTATAACAATTTTTGAAGAGTTAATGTTACCTTTTTCTTTTTTTTATGCAGATTATCTTCTTTGGTTACTATAGTATTATCAGATTATTATATTCATCTTGAATAAATATTCAAATAGTGTAAACATTCACTATTTGTCTTATGCCATCTACAGTATAAAATCGATATATTTATATATCTACTGACCACCATTTACCATTATATATATCCTTTGTTTGTTAAATAGTCAGTTCTACCATATTTTATCTACAGATAACTTTCGATATATTTATTGTTTCTTATTTAAATAAAACAAAAAACAAAAGAAAAATGACCAAACGCCGTTATCTTGATATCGAAAATAAAGAAAATGAACCCGAACAATCTTCATCATTAATTGATAAAAATGAATTAAATCCAACAAAAAAAGCTAAAATTATTGATACTAATAATATCCAACAATTCGAACTTTTATCCGATGAAGAAGATAATGACGATGATGAAAACAATGGACCATGGCCTATTGAATCAGTTATTCAAAATCATAATGGTACTATTCATCCAACAAATAAACAATACATTTTATATGAAAATACAAAACCTAATATGATTTCAAAAACAGCTCGATTTTGGAGCCGTAAATATTTAAAAGTTCTTCAACATGTTGATCCCGATGTATATAATGTATGTTTTTTTTTTTTTCTTTTTAATAATTTCTTTGAAAATTTAAAGCCTTCTTTATTTACTTTAGATGTATGTTCATAATGATTTTGTTTGTTATGGCGAATTAGAAGTTATTGAAAATTGTCTTATCGATATAGCTAAAGGAATATTTCTTAAGCATAAAAAACAAATGAATTTTTCTAATTATATTTTTGCGTTTCGTCGTCTTGAAGCATTAACTATTGTACTTAATAGTTCTCATAATTTTGTTGGTATTGATGATGGAAATCGTTTTGATGAAATTATACGTGTAATTGGTGCTTGTTATATAACAATTCTTCGTGGTTTATTACCAAAATCTATGTTTAATAATGAAGAATTGAATGATGTTGATATGAAAAAATTAAATAAAATTTCACAACAATTACCAAATTTTAAACAAGTTATTCAACAAGCATTAATTCTCGGTCATATGATTTTATCAATTGGATCTATACAAAGTGCATATACGAATGTACTTCAAGTATGTTTGAATAAATTTTGAAAATGAAATAATATTAATTATGTTTAGACTATTTATTGTACTTGGTCAGTATTGATGGATAAAATTCGTATTAATTTAAATGAAAAATTTGATAAAAAACATGAAGATCTATGGCAAGCATTAAAACATGCATCCAAAATAAAAATAAATGCATATAAAGAATCATTTAATTTTATAAAAGAATTAGATATTTATTCGAAAAATAATCCTGATTTAGGTGGTAATTCACATGATCTTCGTAAATGGTCCAAAAGTCAACGAAATTTATATTCATTGGATAATATTGATAGTGAAGAAGATGAAAGTTTTTGGTTTCGTTTGTAATTTTATGTATAAATATTTAGGATTTCTTTTATTTTTTTTTTGTTGCTTTTTGAAATGAATAGAAGTTTATTATTTTATGATGTGAAAGTATTACTTAAAACTATATAGTGAGTGTTTTTTTCGTTTTCTTTCCTTTTTTTCTTTTTTCTTTGCACATTTTTTTATAAAACACTTGATCATATGTCAATATATCACAGGTATCAAGAAAAATCATACCGATTTTTTCAAGGTAGTTTTAACTACGAACATGAAAATGTGTTACGAGTTGGCAACAGCTTGTTTTTTTCTTCGTTTTTTTTTTTTTGGTTTGAATATGCAGAGAGATTAGAGTGTTTGAATGGGTAAACGAATGCACAGCTAGAAGTAATGTGAAGTATGTAAAGATATACCGATAAACAAGGCCATAATCTTCCGTTATACATGTATATATATATATGTATTCGCATGAAAAAGAAAAACGATGGGTGTTATAATATTCATGGCTTTATTTAAAATTTTACGTCAACATTTCTTTTTATTCTCTTTCTTTTTTTTTTGAAAAGAAACCACGTACAACGCCTTCCTTCTTTTATTCATGTCAGTATTGAATGATTACTGGTACAGACGCAGTTCAAAGAGCGTTACATGATGATCATATAGTTTCTTTTTCAAATGAAATAAAAACAATATGACGAAACCATTGAAATTGATTATATACATAAAATTCATGCTTATTTGT